AAAGACCAAAAAGAAAGAAAAAAAAAAAAAAAATCAAGACTCGGCTGCCGCATGCGCAGCATTCTCTCTTCTCTTGTCTTGTCGCCGGCTCCCCTAGCCTACCCCCAACGCGCACACTCACCAGGAAATCATCCAACGACGCGGGTCTGAGCTTCTCTGCCAAAGGTCTCGTATCCTCTCTCGTCTTGCTCCTCTGCGACACCGGCAGCGGCGCTGGATCGGAAGATGAAGTGGCGGGGGCGAAAGCCTGTCTTTGCTGCTGCTGATGCTGCTGATGCTGCTGATGCTGCTGCTGCTGCTGCTGCTGCTGCTGATGCTGATGCTGCTCCACAATCGTTGCGGAATCCGCGTGCGGGTGCGGCTGCTGCGTCGAGTCGAGCCTTCGACGTTTCGCAATAGCGGAAGCGTCTGTATGCGCCAAGGAAGCGATTGCTGATGATCTGCGCGATGGTGTGGTGGCGGCGGTGGTGCAATGCAGCGCCTGCGAATGCGCCTGAGCAGGCTGGGTGGATGGAGCTGGGGCTGTGGCTGGGGCTGTGGCTGTGGCTGGGGCTTTGGCTGTGCGCAAAGATGAATGCTGTGTGGGTGCGTGCGCGTGCGCGTGCGCGGTGGATTGCGAAGACATCATCCTGCTGAACACATCTTCCGACGTCTTGGCAGAGGTGCTCGTGCTCGCGCTCGTGCTCGCGCTCGTGCTCGGGTGCGCCGACTCGAAGGAGAGACACTTGTCCAAGTGCTCATTGACCTCGCTCGCAGAGATGGACTTGGAGCAGGAAGGACAAGCGACAATGTCGGCGGGCCACCGCGACCGCGACCGCGAACTCTCTGATGCCGCCTCTTGGGCGACGGCGATCGCCATCGTGGATGCGCTGCTGCTGCTGCGGCCCTCGTCATCGTCATCGTCGTCATCATCATCATCATCGTCGTCGTGCGCGCCAATCGAAGGCATCGTCGTCGTCGTCGTCGTCGCGCGCAAAGTTGAAATCTCGCCATCCTCTTCGTGTGCATCAGCTCCTTGCCATCCCGCTCCCGCGCCCGCGCCCGCACCCGCACCCGCACCCGCACCCTCCCCCACGTCCGCGCCCGCGCCCGCGCCCACGCTCCTCTCCCTGTCGTGTGCTCCAGTGGGAGCATCCCTCGGCGCTCTTGACATTTCCAACCCTTTCGCCCAGCCCAGCCCAGCCCAGCCCAGCCCAACCCTCTTTCAAGAGGGTGGAGTACGACGCGAGTGATGGGGGTGCGGGTGCGCCGAGTGTGAAATCGGCTCGGCTTCACAGACAGACAGCAAGATAAGATGCAAGCTTCTCTCGCTTCTCGCGATGTGGATTTTGCCTGCCTGCTTGCTTTGCCTTGCCTTGCCTTGCCTTGCCTTGCCCATCAAACCCATCCAAATCGTCTTCTCTCAGTCAGTCAGTCGTAAACGGTGATGATTGATGCAGTGCGGGGGGGAAGATGGGAGTTCATGTGAATGGCTGGCGTGTGCTGGGGGCGCGGGGCAAGAGGGGGATTGCAAAAAGCGCACGCAGCACGCAGCACGCAGCACGCAGCGAACAGCCCCGCGCCCAATTCCACTCACGCGAGTGCTTCCTTCTCTCTCGCAAGCGCGCGCGCGCAAATGCCAAAAGTGGAGTCAAGAGTGGAGGGGAGGGGCAAGTCGCGCGCGGCGGTCGCGCGCGGCATCCGCGTCTACATATATACGCGAGCGTTTGCGCGGCTTGCATATATGCCGCCGTCATCTCACTTTCACTCACGTGACGTGATCGAGGCGATCTCTGGGCTCCAGCAGCACGCCTTCTCTCTATCGCGCACGCACGCACGCACGCACGCACGACAAGGATTCATACAAGTACATTTGCAGTCTGCAAATTCGATGCCGACGAAGGGAGGGCGAGCGAGGGAGGGGGGGGGGGGGGGGGGCAAGTCAAGTCCGTTTGCGCGGCGCGGCGCGGCGCGGCGCGGGCCGCTTGTCCTGCGTGCGCCCCTCCCTCCCCCCCAAATCTCACTCAGCCCCTCCTACCGACAGCACCGAGCGCATTGGCCGCCAATTGCGTCCATCCGCCCTGCGCACCCGCGCCAGCGCCGGCGGCATGGACGCCATGATTGGCGCTCGTCGTCGTCGTAGCAGCAGCAGCTGCTCCCACACCCGCCGACCCACCACCACCACCTCCCCCACCTCCAAATCCGAAAGCGGCCAGCAGACCTGTAGAGTTTGCAGCTTCTACGCGAGAAATCAGACTTTCCGGCTTGTCCGACATGCCCTCTTGCGTCACTTTGCGTCGAGCGGACTCCATGATGGAGGAAATGTCCGACTTTTCCAAGTCGTCCCGCTGTCCTCACCCGAGGCGAGCGAGCGAGCGAGCGGGCAAAGGTGTTAGTCGAAGTGTAGGTCGCGTTCGATGGATGTGGCGCCGATACGTCTCTGCGCCGCCGGGACTCACCGCACGCATGATGGCTTCCAGGAATGGCAATTGAGGTCCGCACATCTTTGCAAAGTTGTAGTACGACAAAAAGACCATTGTAGCGCTCGACGTGAGCATAGAGATGCTGCAAAAGACGCAGAGGTAGAGGGTCAGCCAGCCATTTAGCCAGCCATCAGCATCTTCTCTGCGATTGCGCCTCTTTTTTTTTTTTTTTTTTTAATCCTCACGACCCCAACTCACACTAGATCCAGCACTTCCAACTTCTCCTGCACGCCTTGTGCCTCCCTAAACGCTCCAAAGACGTTCTTGACGTCCCTCAGATCCTCCCTCATACGATTCGCCGCGTCCGGCATGCGCAGTTTGCTGGTTCGTCTCAGCGCTCCAATATACGCCGTCAAGAAGCGATCCATCAGGTCGTCCAACAGCACATCAAATAGCGCAGTCGAGAGGCGCTCAGAGTAGTCCAAAGTGTAATCCCGAATCGTTTCGAGGATCGCAGTGGTGGGCTCGCCCGTGTACCACCTGGACAACACACAAATGCGCCCCCGCGCGTCAGAAGAAGCGCAACTTCTCGTTTCTGCTCGCCCCCCCGCGCGCACAACCGCACTCACGAGGGAAAAGTGAACAAATCCTTGAGCGCTGGTCGGACGTCGGCAAATACCAGATCCACCAACACCTGCGTGCACCTCTTGCTGACGTCCAAGTACCCGTTGATCGCATCGTCGCAGCTCTTTTTCACCACCGGCTTGTACTTTTCGCTCACCACCCCTTCCATCCTCGCGAGCAGTTTCTCGCCAAAGTCTGCGCTCTTGAGCTGATCGTTGGCAAGCGCAATCACATACTCTACCAGTCCCTCGTTTACATCTTGCGGATTTTTGGCTTCGCGTTGCTTCTTGAATTCCGTCTCGAGCACCCTGCTCCACGTTTGTTGCGTCGAGATCACACCGCTGCACGAGTGCTGCAGTGCTCGAACGAGGATCGAGGCTTGTCCCGAGTCGGCAGACAAGTCGACTTGCTGATTGATCATTTGAAAGATCAAAGACGAGTACTGCATGCCGTACACGCCATCGCCATCCTCTTCCGGCGGAACGTCGCGCGAAACAAAGGTCCTCACTTCGTCCGACATGAGGTTCGCGATCCACTCGTCGATCTTGCGCGTGATGAGCGAGAGATAGTCGTCGATGATCGTCTGCTCCTTGCCATCCAGCAACGTGCGCGGTTCTTCGATCCACTTGACGTCCACCGCGAGCGTCTTGGTCATCGTCTTTTTGTAAGACTGGCAGAATTGGTACAGCTCCAACAGCGCGCTAGCCTCTGGATCCGTCTTGAGGATCCTCTGCGTGAGCATCTCGCCCAAATGCTTGTGATAGCTCTTGACGAACCATCGAAAGATGTTGTACTCCTGCGGGAAGAGCGGCACCAGCAATTCTTGCACCGCTTCCAGATCCTTGTAGATCCAATCCAGATGCTCCAAAAATTCCATGCAGCGCGCATCTCCGCCATCTTCCGATGCCCCGAATCTCTTCCAGCACTCTTCGAACAGCTCCAACGTAGCTCTGTCCATCGCTTCCAAGAGTTTGGGTCTGTAGAGCTTGATGACGCGCGCATTGGCAACGACGCTCCTGAAGCGTGCAGCTCCCTCTAGACCTGCCTTCTTGGCCAATCTGATGGCCGCAGCCTTTTCGTCTGCTCGCGACTCGACCTCTATGACCTTGACCAAGCGCACCACCACTCCGCCCATATCCTCGCGGGCCAGATCCAACGCTCTGCTTCCCAAGTCCCACAAATACTCTTCAAACTGCCTCACCAATCCATCCAGCGGGGCGAAATATTCCGTCAGCGTCAACCTCACATCCGAGGAGCACGTCCTTGCCATCTGCAACGTCTCGTTTCGAAAGGTTTCCAAGTTGGAGATGTGATAGTGCAACGCTAGCAGGTTGGGACAACCGTCGAATAAATCTCGACGAGAAATGGCGAGGAGGTGAGCGACAGATTCGATCTTCCTTGGCAGCGCCGCCAATTGATCCAGCATCGTGGCCGTCTGAACAAAGTTGCGATGAATTTGCGAGACCTGAGCGCGCGCGCGGGGGCGAGGGAGGTGGACAGGGGACCGCATGAGCGCCGCACCGTACCGCATCGCATCGCACCGCACCCACGCCGCGCCACAACCGCGTGTATGCGGCCTGCCTGCCTGCCTGCCTGCCTGCCTGCCTGCCTGCCACTCTCACCTCGGATATGACTCTGAAAGCGCCTCCACCCGCATTCTTGCCCTTCATCTCCTCTCCGCAGCCCTTTTCTATCTCGCCAAACGCTTCCCTCACACCAGCCACATCCCTCCTCGTAGCTTGAAGCTTCAACAATCCATCCCGCGTAGCTTCCAACTGATCCTTGGCACCCGTCTTGAGTTTGGCGCTCAATGAAGATTGCTCCTTGAGCAGCTTTTTGCGAAGCGTTGGAAGCTTGTGAAGATCGTCGGGAGACTGTGGGGCGCGCGCAAGTCGCAAGGCAGCGAGAAAGTTGAACAGACAGGCCCGGCCTTCAGCATCGCTCGTCCGCCCGCGCGCCGGTACGCATGCGCTTTTGCTTGC